TTTGAACCTTTTTTCTTTCCTCTGTGTGTTGTGTTGGATTAAGGTGGAGTGCACGATTCCCAAGGACGATGGAAGCCTGGTGTCGTACGTTGGATTCAGAGTGCAGCATGATAATGCACGTGGACCAATGAAGGGAGGGATCAGATATCATCCTGAGGTGATGATGATGTCTTGATTTGGTTTTTGTTTTCGTTTTGTTAGTCTTATGTTTTTGTTCTTTTTCATGATCTGGTTGTTGAAATATCATTCAGGAGGGAAGAGTAATGGTTAAAGATATTAGCTTTTCGAACCCAAGTGTCGAGGGAGGGGATGGAGTAACGTGTTAGGATTATGATATGTTCAGGGTTTGATTCCCTTCAGTAACGGAAAAAAAAGATATGAACTTTGATTCTGAACTTTTAGGAACTAATCGAAAGTGTAAGATGCATGCATTTGCGTAACCTGTGATTGTGTTTTTGGCTTCTAATTGGTTTGGCTAAACCGTTCATATGTAATCACACAAGAAAACATCGGCATAGATTAGCTAAATGTATGTCTTTCTGTTGGTGGATTCTGTATCGAATTTGTTGTTGGTTTGTTTCTTAAAGGTTGATCCGGATGAAGTGAATGCCCTGGCTCAACTCATGACCTGGAAGACTGCCGTGGCCGACATTCCATATGGTGGAGCCAAGGGTGGAATCGGATGCACCCCCGGGGACTTAAGTTTGAGCGAGTTGGAGCGTCTGACTCGCGTCTTCGCTCAGAAAATCCACGATCTCATTGGAACTCATACTGATGTTCCCGCACCCGATATGGGCACCAATGCTCAGACCATGGCATGGATGTTGGATGAGTACTCCAAATTTCATGGTCACTCACCAGCTGTTGTCACTGGAAAGCCCATCGTAAGTATTCGACACTCAGAAAATTAAGCCAAAAATCGGTTTCCTACAGTTGGATCAAATATTTGTCGCTGGAACTGTCTAAGTTTTCTCTTGTATTTGGGTTTTTAGGATCTTGGGGGATCACTAGGTAGGGAGGCTGCAACTGGACGCGGTGTCGTTTTTGGAACAGAAGCTTTACTTGCAGAATATGGGAAGTCATGCAAAGGCTTGACTTTTGTTATTCAGGTATGTATGCACATTTGATGTTGTCGTGTCTGTTAACAAGTGAAGTTTCGGTAAGCATGTAAAAATTTTGAGTTTTGGGTGAACTTTTGTAGGGTTTCGGAAACGTAGGATCCTGGGCAGCGAGGCTTATACACGAGAGAGGTGGTAAGGTCATTGCTGTGAGTGACATTACTGGTGCAGTTAAGAACCCTAATGGACTCGATATTGATGAGTTGGTTAAGCACAAGGAAAGCACTGGGAGTTTGTTAAATTTCAACGGTGGAGATAACATGGACCCTAATGAGGTACTGATACACGAATGCGATGTTCTCATCCCTTCTGCTTTAGGTGGAGTACTGAACAGGTTTGAGCTTTTTTTCCGACAAAATCGCTGCTTTCATTGTTTCTTGTACAATGTTGCATAGATTGGAGGCATAATCACTGTCATAGATTAATCTGTTCTAATCGTCTTATTGTAAAGGGAAAATGCTTCATCCGTGAGGGCGAAATTCATCGTCGAGGCAGCAAATCATCCTACCGATCCAGAAGCTGATGAGGTACTCTTACATATTAATTCTTCCGCGATTTTAAATACGAAAAAAGATGGTTGCAATTCTGAGATGATCTTTTATTGGTGCAGATTTTATTGAAGAAAGGAGTTATAATACTCCCAGACATATATGCAAATGCTGGTGGTGTGACTGTTAGCTACTTTGAGTGGGTTCAGGTGACCGATAGGAGAAACTTTAGCTCGATTTTTCTGAGTAGCATTCGACGATTAGAGACATAATTTTAACATACTGAAATTCGGTTGATTTTGTCGCAGAACATTCAAGGGTTTATGTGGGATGAAGAGAAGGTGAATAACGAGCTTCAAAGGTACATGACTCAGGCGTTTCATAACATCAAGAGCATGTGCAAGACCTATGATTGTAATCTCAGAATGGGTGCCTTCACATTGGGTGTAAACCGGGTTGCACGCGCCACCAACTTACGGGGTTATGAAGCATAAAGAGCTTCTTCTGTTGGCCCGTTGCATTTTTTTCCCCATAGTCATAGCTGAAGAAGGCAGATTTGAAGCCATTCTTAGTTTACCTCCAAAATTCTCGGTTCTCTTTTTCCGCAGTTGACTGTTTGCTTTCTTTTAGCAGAATCTGTATTTGATTAGAGGGATTGATTTATTAAGGAAATCAAAATCTGTTTTTCTTGCTCCAAACGTGTCTTAAATGATAAAATTGGTAGTTGCTGTTCTTATACTCCTATCAGTATTGCTTATGCTAAATAGTTCCATGTGAGAAGACTCTCATAGGTGTGACTTGCGTGCCTTTTTCTTCCCACGCACCCCTTTGTTTATATTTGGATTTCGATTGAATAAATCAAAGGAGACTCGAGGGACAAAAATGAGAAAATGGGTGTGCGGAAATCACGGAAATCATTTCCCATTCCCGAGAAGTGATTTCTTTGGCACTGTCATTTCTGGCAAAGTTCTCCAAAGTGTTGGTTAAAGCAGATGCAGTAAAACTGCCTGCCCATAACTTCACCGATGAAAACAGGGGGAAGATAAGCTTTCAAATTCCCAAGCATAGGCCTTCCTCCCCACTTTCTGAAATTCTATCTACAAACTTGAAGGGAAGAAATCTAGAAGCTGAAGAACCAAATTACGAAAAACAACGCAAAATAATCTGTCTCAGATAAGGCTATGGCTTCCATTGCCATTCTGCTTCACTGCAAACAGTTTGCAGCTCACATCAAGTCACAAAACAACCCCAACCGAAACCGGCAGCTCGCTCCTTGGGGACGAAAGAAGCAACCCGTATTGTTGCTCTGAATGCGGAAGCAAATGGTTTAAACGTATCTGCACAAGAGAAATCTTCTTTACGCGTTTAAAAACACGAGGTGGAGGATGCTGCTGACTCCAAATCAAAGGATGGTCTCGGGGCGCAGAGTCGTCAGTCGTGAAATTCAGCGATGAGAGGTGGAAGAATGGGACATGGGATCTGAATATGTTTTCCAAAAACGGCAAGATGGATTGGGATGGCATCATTCTAGCAGGTCTGCAATTTAATCCAAAAATGTTTACAAATTCGTTTACAACATCGTTGATTTTATGTGTGCTGGCATTGCAGAAGCAAAAAGGAGGAAGTTTCTTGAGCTTCACCCGGAAGCATCAACGAACGAAGACCCGGTAGTGTTCAGGAGCTCCATCATACCATGGTGGGCATGGATGATGAGATCTTATCTCCCGGAGGCCGAGTTGATCAACGGTTGGTTCCAATCACCCATCACTTCACATACACACACTTTCTTAGAACTACGTATCTCTTGCTGCGCGCATTGCATGGTTACTTGAACTTATACACCAGATTCAATTTTTCGCCTTGTCTCTTTAAGGTCGAGCGGCAATGGTGGGGTTCTTCATGGCATATGTTGTAGACGCTTCGACAGGGCTCGGCGTTGTAGGACAAACTGGAAACTTGATATGCAAGGCAGGAGTTTTTGTGACAGTCATTGCTATTGTACTCATTAGGCGAACCCAAGATCTCGAAAACCTTAAGAAGCTTGCGGATGAAGCTACCTTCTACGACAAGCAATGGCAAGCTTCGTGGCAAGATCGAATCGATCAAAGTGGGAAGAAGATTTAAATCTCCCTTCCAAAAGAAAGTTTGTATGATTATAACACAATCTAATCATTTTGCTTTTATGTTGAGGGTGGGATTTGTCCTACGTGACATTTATCGACACCATGATATAGCATTTTGGCACGCTTTATTTTTTAATTGGGCATATACTTTATTCGATATAAAAGAAATATCATAAGAGTAACACGACGAAGTACCAAAATGGTTCATCCAATTTCAGAAATAAAAATGTTATCTTAAAAAGAAGCATAGCCTGAAACCTTAACAAAGATAAAACAAAAAATAATACAAAATATACAGGACCTTTCAGTAAACATTGCAAATCAGGCCAAGTTAGGTTCAAATTTAGTGGAACCGGACCGTACCTCTTCAAAAATAAAACGAGACGGGACATTTAAAAAATGAAACGGGACCTAACCTGGCTCATTTGAAACGGGTCGGCTCCAACAGGTCTACGGGTCCATTTCCTGATCCAACCTGAAAAACTTGATGCAAAACCCAAATCAGAACCAATTCAAGTAAAACTCGACAGATCTCTTTGTAAGCTCTCGTGAAAGATCTCAAAAGATGGTGGTCAAGTCGAGGGCCATGTCTTCACATGTTTGAACCCACTCCTGCCCTGTTTTCTGTATAAAAATATATAGACTCATCTTGATTCTGCCCCGACCTGCAAGTCCAGGGTCCGTTTGCCCACCCCTTATTACATTGCACTAGGACTCTAATTAATAAAAAGGATTGAGATATTTTACGATCTCACATTCCGTAGTCTACAGATTAAGAAATTTGGGTCGTAAGATTTAAATTGAACAATTCAGATTTCTCGATCCGTGTAAGGTGAGCCAATAAAATAAATTAATGTAGACCGTAAAATTTAAATTGAACGGTCCAAAATTTATCGTTTCATGAACTCTGAAGTGTGAGATCCATATTGCATCTCAATCTAATAAATAGGAGGGAAATGATCTGATGACACGAGAAATTTTTCAATATGATCGGAATACGAGATGATATATCTCATATCATTATACAAATAGCGGCATATGTGTGTTAAAAACTTAATAACTTTAAAAATATAATTTTCCACTAATTATATAAAAACATATGATTTACCATCCATGTTCCGAATGAAAAATTTCTGCGATGACACCAATAAAACCCGCCATGACGATCCGGATAAACCATTTTCCCGACTTTATGACTTCTTTTTCGAAAATAGCAAATCGAATCGACACCATTTCCACTATAAAATAGTAACTGTAAACGCTCCAAACCAAATCGAATCCTCCTCCCCCTTCCCTCCTCCACCGCCGCGTCTGCGTCCTCGCAGATGCTAAACCCCCTAAACCCAACCTCTCCTCTCCGCCACGGCAATGTCTTCCTCTCTCCCCAAACCCCCTTCTTCCTCTCCCCCCTCTCCGCCTCCCCTAGACAGCTCCGATGCTGAGCGACGCCTCCGCGAGGCCGAGGACCGCCTCCGCGATGCCATCGAGGAGCTCCAGCGCCGCCAGCGCTCCGCCGCTGCCACTGGATCTCAGCACCACCCGCCTTGCGACCACGCCGCCGACGAGTCCTGCGTCGCCCACGCCATTGGTAATCTCTGCCAGAGCTTTCTCTTGTCGTATGGCGTTCGAGTCGGAATTGGCATCCTTCTTCGCGCTTTTAAGCTCGCGCGCCGGCAGTCCTACTCTTCTCTCCTCGATCTTAAGGTATGGACTGGTATAATCAGTAAAAAGATTGTGTTTTCGAATGATGATCTGAAGAATTGGAGAAATTATACGATTGAAATGATAAATTGCTCAATTAGTGATAGTGAATTTGAATTTCTCTTGCAAATTTGAGAGAGGAATAGGATACTTGTGAAGAATCGAAATTGGAAGCTTTTTTTATGCCTCTAGGGTTTTATCGTGCACAATCGAAGCTTTCAACAAAATGTTGTTATCCAGCAGCTGTTGAACTTTTCTAGATTGTTAAAATGGGCAATGAATTGAATTTTTTTTCGATTTTATTGCTTTGCAGCAACTTGTCTCGGAAAAAGATCTCATTGTAAGAGAAGAAGCGTGCCGGATCGGTTTATTTTTTGGTGGCTTTAGTGGTTCATATCATGCTCTTAGATGTTTGTTGAGAAAATTGAGAAAGAAAGAGACACCAATGAATGCGTGAGTTTTCTTCTGTGTCTGTGTGTATGTATGTGTTTGTGTATATGATTTGAAATGTTTTGAAGCAGTTATTCCATATATATGACTTTGTTTCGGGGGATGATGGAGCAGAATTTTAGCAGGTTCAGTTGCTGGTTTGTCTATTTTAGCATTGAATGACTCAAACCGAAGGCGCACACTTTCTCTGTACTTGCTGGCCAGGCTAGGCCAGGTAAATGAATGCATATTGTAATTGTATATTTATAGCTGTTCTTCAACAGTATGTGAAATGATTGAGTTTTTGTCGGTGGTTCCAACCTTTTGACCTTTCTTTTCTTTCATCAGTGTGCTTATAATTCTGCGAAGTCGAAGAATAAGTTTCACTTTTGGGGAAGCCATTGGAAGCATGGAGATTCATTACTTTTCTCTCTTGCATGTGCGCAGGTAGCACCTCTCTTTGTTGATTTGTTTTGCTAGTAATTTGTCACCTTTCCCAAAAAATTTTAAATCTTTCTTGTTTTCTTTCTACTTCTCCCTCCTTATTGTCCAAAATTCTAATTATTTGAAAATTATTTTTCAGGTTATGTATGCCTTTGTAATGCGGCCTGAGAGCTTGCCAAAATCTTATCAAGAATTTATTCAGAAGACTGGGCCAGTTGCCCAACCTGTATACAAGGCTGTAAGGGATGGCTGTAGAGGCCACCCTGTGGATATTGCCTCTCTATCTGATTATTTGTTTGAGAGAACAAAATCCAACTCTATACAGTTGGAAGAGTATCCATCCATACTTCCTTGTACAGTTATTCATCCAGACACGAATTCTTGTTTAGCTCATAATGCACGGGCAACATCAGCTACATTTAGGAAAACATTTCCGCTTTACTTTTCTTTGACGTTTGTACCATTTGTTGTTCTCCGCCTACAGAAGGTAAATTCTTCAAACTCAGCCTTTTCTTTTTCATTTTTCACTAGGATAATCCTTCTTTAGCAATGATTGTCTGAAGTGCTGCATTTACCCATTAGTTTCGCTGACCACGATAGTGGATTTATTGCCATCCATGCACATTTGCCCTCAAAAGGCAAATTGATGTTCCATTCTATAAGCTACTTTGCAACTATCTTAAGCTAAGTTCTAACTTTTTAGGAATAGGAGTCTTTTTTGTCATGATATTGTTATATTCATTAGGAGCTGAAAATATATGCTATTTTCTAAAATTCGAAGGAAAATCTTGAGACAAATTTTTAATTTTTCTTTCATTTAGTTCATGGAGGCCCCTTCTCGCACATTTTTAATTGCTCTTAAAGATGCTGTTCGCTCAACATCATTTTTGTCCGCATTTGTTGGAATCTTTCAGGTACTTTACTCCTCTGCTTCAGTATTTCCTACTTGTATAATACGTTGGCTACATTCTTAATGTTTCATTCTTTGTGTTAGGGTGTCATATGTTTGCATAGAAAAGTTGCTTCAAAAGACCACAAGCTTGTATATTGGTTTGCAGGTGCAATATCTGCTCTTTCAGTTTTACTGGAGAAAAAGCCTAGACGTGGTGAACTGGCTCTTTATGTTCTTCCACGAGCTGGAGATTCTTTGTGGTATATCTTAGTAAACCGCCACCTTCTTCCAGATATTAAGAACGCAGAGGTACTGTTTTTCTACCATGCCACTTATCCCTAAACTGTGATCATTGAGAACGAAATCTATTTCAGCATTCTATACTTGAATCCTTTTTTCGTTCGAGTTGGATCTGATTGAACAGTTGGCAATTTTATACTATTTAAAAAGTGCATTAATTTACGTTTTTGAATTGTTGCAGGTGTTCATGTTCAGTTTGTGCATGGGAGGAATCATGTACTACTTGGAACATGAGCCAGACACAATGGCTCCACTCCTCAGGGGTCTGATCCGTCGGTTCCTTGCTAGCAGAATAAGCAACCCTGTGTCCTCGTCTAGTAGGAATCCTTCCTACACATACTTGCAAAATCTTGAAGCCATGAAGAAACCGAAGCCCTTAGAGAGTCGCGGTGCTGAATCACCTTCCGAAAAATATAATCTCGAATCAATACCAGGGCTCTGAAGATTGAGGCGCGTGCAGAACTCCCGACACCCGATTTTTTCCGTGGAGTTTCACTGAACTTTATATATCGAGACTGAACGTTTCGTTCGCTAATAAAAGAAAGATGATTTTTTGTTTAAAATTGAAGTTGTGCATTGATGTACTTGAATCTTGAAGAAAAAGAGTGATAATGGAAGGCAGTTGCCAATTTTTATTTAGCAGCAGATACATTTCGAAGTTGTTTCCAATTTCTAACCTTCGAGAGATTTTTTAATGTGCTCCCAACACGGGCGGTACGCTATATCATATTATACAAGTAGATGGATTTTTTTTTTTCAAGTCTCTTTTTATATAATGACATATGACGTATATGCATGTGTTCCTGACAGTGAGAAAATCTCTCCGTTTCCCCTTGTGTACATAATTCAATGGTCATCTTGAAATAATGTATATTACAATTAGGGTTATATTTGTATATGAGAAATGCTAAGGAGAGGATGATGATCTTGTCCGGATCCTGCTTGTGAGGATCCCTCTGTGGAGTTCTTCATAAGGATAATATTAAGAAGATCAAAATTTTAAACTAAATTTGCAAATCAAATGATGTGTCATCAATAAAAAACAAGTATTGACAAAAAAATAAAAATAAAAAACAACAATTAATAATCGAATCATCTACAACCATATTGTTTGGTTTAAAAAATTTAGTCTACCTTCCTCTTTAACTCTCCGTTACCTCATGTTTTTTGCACAATATTTATATCGTCACAAGAACTGTCCCAAAAATACTTAGTGGTGAAGAGTTCATAAAAAGTTCCACTTTTCAAAGAATTTTCTTGGTATTTCTCATTTGTATACATGCAATCACTCTAATTTTGCAATGAGGAGTGTCAGCGATATTCTCTTGTCATGTCAATTCCAGCCGGATTGATTGTTAAGTTTAATTAATTATAATTATTACTTTCAAGTCACTCTGTATGGTAAAATGTTTATTTTGTTACACAAAAAGTTAGCGGGAAGAAGCTACCTACCCGCAACAGTGCCAATAAAACAAATCAAAGGAAAGAGGTGGGGTGAACACTCGAGCGAAAGCTCAACGCACCTTCCGGAAAAAGCGATAAATCGCAGTGAAGACAAGTGGAAGGAATGCGGAAGGAAGGTGGAAGAAACAGTGAGATTCGCAAGTCCACCTTTGTATGCTATCTATGTTTATTCTCTTACATAAATGAATTCAAGGGGAATCAATTCTTACAAGGAGCCTAACATAATCTGCACCAGTTGATGGATTCGAGGCTGTCTGAGGCTTCTAAAACAGGAGACATCCAGCTCTTGCACCAGTTGATGGCAGAGCATCCACTTCTGCTCCATAACCTTGCCCTAACTTCCATCGAGAACCCGCTACATGTCGCTTCGCTTGCCGGACACGTAGAATTTGTTCAGGAGATCGTGAAGTTGAGACCAGCTTTTGTGCATGAAATGAACCACGATGGGTTCAGCCCCATGCACATCGCGGCAGCCAACGGGTATTTGGAGGTTGTAAGGGAGCTGCTGAGAGTTGACCCGAGACTCTGCCGGATGAAAGGAAGAGACCAATGGACTCCTCTTCATTATGCTGCTGCTAGAGGGAGAGGTGATGTCGTCGGAGAGATGGTTTTGGCTTGCCCGGAAAGTCTCGAAGACGTTACTCTGCATGAGGAGACTTCGTTGCACCTTGCTGTTAATAACTGCCAGTTTGAAGCAGTTAAAATTTTGGTTGAGTTGGTCATCGAACTGAGGAGGGACAACGTTTTGAATATGAAGGACAAATATGGCAACTCAGTTCTTCACGTAGCAACCTGGAAGAAACAACACCAGGTTAGTACACTATGATCAACTAGTTTTCATTTGAATTTTTATGTTTTTTTTTTTGTTTTACAAGTCGATATTTTAGACTACTCTACTTAACGAATAGGGTGATTATGGGTACAAGAGGGCGGAGCAGTGTGTCCGTCTCTTAACACTCAATTTCGAATTCCTATACCTGAGTAGTATAAAATATTGTTTTGCCAAAAAACAAAATATGGATTAAAAAGCTCATAATCTTCACAGGTGGTGGAATGGATAGTTGGCAATAGAACAACTCCAAGTGCATTGGAAGTAAACATTGTAAACCAGAGTGGTCTAACACCTCTTGATCTGCTACTAATCTTCCCGAGTGAAGCTGGCGATAGGGAAATTGAAGAGATCCTTCGTGGTGCCGGAGCTTCGAGAGCAAAAGACATACACCATACTTCCTCTAATTGTCCCATGGAAACAAATACCCTTCAGTTGCAGCAGCCAAAAGACCCAATGCAATACTTCAAGTTCAAAAAGGGCAGAAAATCTGACGACGATCCATACGCCACGGTGCTGCTAGTTGTCGCTGTACTAGTGGCCACCACCACCTTTCAAGCCGGAATCAGCCCTCCGAACGGCGGTTTGCACTACACCACTGGATCAAATAAGAATGGGATTGACTGTGGGAGCAATGGTTTAGTAGTTGTCTATATGTTTTTCAACACGATTGGATTTTCGGTTTCGCTTTTCATGATCGACTTCCTCACGCGCAATTTCCCTCTGCTGTTTCAGCTTCGATTTTGTATGGTGATGATGTACGGCACGTACACCGTAGCAGTTATCAGCACTGCACCGAAAAGCATGCTGCTCTGCATCACTTCGTCAACTCCATTATTTGTAGTGATTTTACAGTTGTGCTGTTGTATTAATTTTAAGGTGCCTTGGCAAAACCTAATAGGCTCTTAGGCTCTCTTACGAAGTTAGTTATTTTCAGGCATGTTATTGCTAGCTAGACAGCTTGTTTATAGGTCATTTGCTTGCCCCACAAATAAATTGTGCCTCTTATCAAAAGATTGTTCTATAGAGGGGTTAAATCTATATTAGGTCCTTTTCTATCCTTTGAAGACAAAAACTTTATATTTTTCTTGCGTTGAATGCTAAAACAATGACCACAAACTAATCAGAAACGATCCAAGCCAGTTTGCAATCTTTGTTATAAAAAAAAAAAAAAAAAAAGAAAAAGAAGAAGAAGAAGAAGTAATAACAGAAAGTAAACCGCTAGAAATAATAATACAAGCTGAAGGTAAACTGCTTGTAAATACTCGTAAAGTGTTAACCAAAATGACAATAAATTACAGGAAAAGGTAATAACTTGAAAGTAAATGATAAATATAAGCGATTGGGCGTAATTTCAACCTATTCGGGCAAGTTTGGATGCCAGGCGAGCAAAATCTTGCAAGTACAAGACATGTTTTGAGAAGTAAACTTTAATGCAAGAAATCAATACTACAAAGGAAGTAGCAGAGCTATAAATACAGAAGAATGTTTGAACTACAAAGGGAGTATGTGAAGAGTAGGTTGCAAAGCTTTTTAGAAGTCTTTTTTGTATGTTGAGTTGAGACTTGAGAGTCCTTTTTTTCAACCTTTCTGCTGCCTTTTATAGAACAGCCCTTTTCTTCTAGAGTAAGCCCTTCCTCCTCAGTTCATTCTCTCTGGTGCAAGTAGCTGATATGATCTATTGTCAAAGGATGAGTTCCCACTTGGATACTTGAGCTTTTGATCCCCTTAAAACATATCCTTGTTGGTGCATTCATCATAGAAGCTCCAGCTTCGTACTATCATAAACACCATACATTTCTATGTATTACGAAATTTTCCTTTCTTCTTTTGCTTTTTCTGATCGAAAAATTAAGTTTGAACACAACAGGCTTTGTGGTTCAAAAATCTAATGGATTCTTTGAGAGAAGAGTGGGATTGTTAACTTTGGGTTAACAGAAAGTTAACGAAAATATTAATTTTGGGCTTCAATCTTAACGAACTTCACCAGAATGGTTTAAATCCGATTTTTTTACCACGGGGGTAATCTTTTGATTATCCTATCACCACAGGGTCCATTAATCCAATTTAATCACTAAATTATATTGCATCAACTGAACGAATCCATTTTTAGGAAAACTATTGAAAAATGTTTGAAAACTTTGAGTTATGACGAAAATGACAAAAAGGTGTTGTAAGTGAATAGTACCAGGATTGATTTTTTAGAGTAAAACTGTGGTTTTTCATTAAAGTAAATAGTATCGGGAGTTTTTTCATTAAAGTTCCCTATATTTTTTGTATTGACGAAGATAGATATAACCGTTAATCGATGGAGAATCCGTTATCCGGTGGTTATGGATAATTACCGATAATTAATTTGCGATTATGGATAAAGTTAGTTTTCATGGTTATTGGGATGAATATAGCATTTCCTGCCCCAAACCAAACCGTTGCCACCCCTAGCACTACCACATGTATGTTTGATCCTTATATTTGTATATGAGAAAAGTGAAGGAGATTTTCTCAAAATGGGACTCTCCTTAAACAATCTCTACTACCTCATTTTTTGGTACAATACTTTATAATGTTGGCACGAAAATTGTGCCAAAAACATTTGATGGCAGAAAATTCATAGATAGTTCCACTTATGAAAGAGTCTTCGTAACATTTCTCATTTGTATATATGATGGGTGATGCTAGGAAGACTAAATTTGGATACAAGACTAGCAAACTAAATGATGAGTCACCAATAAAATGAGCATGTTTATCAACGATTAAGTAATAAACTAATCATTAACTTTCATGTCCCTTAATTTTTAAAATTTTATCTCCAAATTTTAGTCTTCTAACATTACCTTGAATGAAATCACTCTAATTTTGAGATTAGGAGCGTCAGTAAGATTCTCTCGCCATTGCAATTCTAGCAGTATTGATTGGCAATTAACATGAATTGATTGAGTACCATTAACTTTAATTGCTTAGTGCAAAGGGTTTGTGTCACATCTCAATCCGGACCCTCATCACATCCCGAGCTCGACTCCACTGTAGCACGATATTATTTGCTTTGAACCCCTACCACATCCTCGCGGTTTTGTTTCTGGGAACTTAGACAAAAACTTCCTAGTGGGTCACCCATCATAAGAATGCTCTCGCGTGTTACTCGCTTAACTTTGGAGTTCCCATGAAACCCGAAGTCAGTGAGCTCCCAAAAGGCCTCATGCTAGGTAGAGATGAGAATATACATATAAAGATCACTATCCTGGACGATATGAAATCTTACAATGCCTATTTTAGTATTCGAAGAATATCGGGATCGGGGCCGTCAGTTTATCAGTTTATCTTAAAAGTAGATAGTATAAAAGCTCTTTCTCTCTCTTGTATTAACTAACTTTTGTAAGAATTCAGATAGCAAATACAGAGCTCTATAGCTTTCTTCTTGGCAAAGCTTCTTCGTTACGACTTCTGCATCTATTTCATGATTTCATTCTACAGTGTTAATACTGTATACTATGTTTATTTTATTACACAAATCGAAAGAAATTAACGAGCAGAAGTAACCCAATAGCAACAGTGCCGATAAAAGCAAACCAAAAGAAAAGGTGGTGTAACATCCGAGCCAAAGTTATACATCCCTTCCGGGAGAAGCGAAAAATCGCAGTGAGGATAAGTGAAAGCCGATCCGAACTGTAAAGTCAATGATGGATGAAGTCGATCCGAATTGAGGAACTTGGAGGGAAACAGGTGTAAAGGTGGAAGAAAATAGGGGGAAAAGATGGAAAAGGTGGAAGGAAACACGGGAAAAAAGTGGAAAGGCGGAAGGAAGGAGGAATCGGAGAAAGAGGAAAAAGGGGGCTCAAGCCAAAGAAAGCAGACTTAGGCCTAGGTTGGTACTGAGGTGATTCTGAAAAAAGCGGGTATTAAATCCACCTCTGTATACTATATATGTTTATTCTATTACATAAATGAATTCAAGGGAAATCAATTCTTACAAGAAGCTTAACATAATCTGCCAGGATGGATTCGAGGCTGTCTGAGGCTTCTAAAACAGGAGATATCCAGCTCTTGCACCAGTTGATGGCAGAGAATCCACTTCTGCTCCATAACCTTGCCCTAACTTCCAGCGAGAACCCGCTACATGTCGCTTCACTTGCCGGACATGTCGAATTTGTTCAGGAGATCCTGAAGTTGAAACCAGCTTTTGTGCATGAAATGAACCAGGATGGGTTCAGCCCCATGCACATCGCGGCAGCCAACGGGTATTTGGAGGTTGTAAGGGAGCTGCTGATAGCTGACCCGAGACTCTGTCGGATGAAAGGAAGAGACCAATGGACTCCTCTTCATTATGCTGCTGCCAGAGGGAGGGGTGATGTTGTCAAAGAGATGGTTTTGGCTTGCCCGGAAAGTCTCGAAGACGTGACTCTATATGATGAGACTTCGTTGCACCTTGGTGTTAATAACTGCCAGTTTGAAGCAGTTAAAACTTTGGTTGAATCGGTCATGGAACTGAGGAAGGACAACGTTTTGAATATGAAGGACAAAAATGGCAATTCAGTTCTTCACGTAGCAACCTGGAAGGAACAACACCAGGTTAGTACACTATGATCAACTAGGTTTCATTTGATTTTTTTTGTTTGTTTTAGAAGTCGATATTCTTAACTACTCTAGTTAACGGATAGGGTGATTCAAACTTGGGTACAAGAGGACAGAAATACTGTCTTGACCAACTAACCTAATTTGCGTTTGTGACATTCCCTTCAAATTTGAAACAGAATGTATTCAAACCTATAAATGTTGACTTTATTATTGACATTTTAGCCAAAATGGTATCTGAAATTGATATAACTCTTTACTTGGGTTCATGAGATTTGAAATCAATAGAAGTGGTCTTTAAATTTGTCCACCATCAACCTTTTTTTTGTTTACAGTAAGGGAGAGGGATGAGCCAAAGTGACAAAAATACCCTCTATTTAATAAACAATGGGCTAAAATGATTTGACAAAAAGTAAGGGTATTTTTGTCATTTTCTTTCTTATTTAACAGTGATTTTTCACGAAATAATCAAAATGATTGATGGTGGACAAACTCAGGGACCAGTTCTTAGATTCTAAATCTCAAGGACTAAAGTGAGAACTTATGTCAATATCAGAGACTATTTTAACTAAAAAGTCATTATCTTACTAATGACACCAATTTTATTAATCTAGAAAGAGGTGACTCACCAATTTGATCAGATCAAACCTAAAATGAAAAACAATGTAGTTTGGTCATGGCACAAAAGAAATTGTGAGGTAAATCAAATAGGTGGAGTAGTGTGTCTGTATCTTAACACTTAATTTCGAATTCCTATACCTATATATTTGAGTAATTTAGAATATTGTTTTGCCAACAAAATATATCGATTAAAAAGCTCATAATCTTCACAGGTAGTGGAATGGTTAGTTGGCAATGGAAAAACTCCAAGTGCATTGGAAGTAAACATTGTAAACCAGAGTGGTCTAACACCTCTTGATCTGCTACTAATCTTCCCGAGTGAAGCCGGCGATAGGGAAATTGAAGAGATCCTTCGTGGTGCCGGAGCTTCGAGAGCACAAGACATACAATATACTCCCTCTCATGGTCCCATGGAAACAAATACCCTTCAGCTGCAGCAGCCAAACAACCCGATGGAATACTTCAAGTTCAAAATGGGCAGAGACTCTCCCAGCGATGCACGCACGGCGCTGCTAGTTGTCGCTGTACTAGTGGCCACCGCCACCTTTCAAGCCGGACTCAGCCCTCCGGGCGGCGTTTGGCAGGACAGCACGGGATCAAACAAGAATGGGACTGGCAGTGGCAGCAATGAACCAGCACACTCAGCAGGGGAGTCCATCATGGGTTCTGACGACAATATTTTTTTTATCTGCTTTGTGACTTTCAACTCGATGGGATTTTTTGTTTCACTTTACATGATCTGTGTCCTCACCACCAATTTCCCTATGCAGTTGGAGCTTATAATGTGTATTCTCGCGATGTACGGCACGTACAACACTGCAGTTATCAGCATTGCACCTGCGAACCCGATGGTGTGCGTCTCTCTGTTAATTTATGGTTTGCAAACTTTGCTTTCACTTGTTGTCCTACTTTGGCGGCTTTTCAGGATCAGGCTTAGAGAACTGCATTAAGTGGTTCATTTATATTTGTACATAATAAGTCTATTTCCGGGATCAAATCATCGTTGCCGCATTCATCATAGAAGCTTCAGCTTCGTATCCTAGTCAGTCGTTTTTGTATCTTAGGCCACCGTTTGGGAGGTTGCGGTGCTTTAGAAAAAGGAAAAAGATAAAAAAAAAAAAAACAAATCTGATTTATGATGGTGTGTTTTTTAGGTGTGTTTTTTGTACTACTTCTATTTCGTTTATGATGGTGTGTTTTTTGTTTATTTGACGGAGATTTATGATGATGTTTGTTTTATATGTCGACATCTTTGCCGGCTGCAATCGATACCGTCGTTTGATACTGCAAATTAAAACCCCGTGGATGCGCAAATTCGAGCCAACCTTACATGTTGTAGGAAGAAGGGAGCAATGTTGTTGGTAGCACAAAAGTTCATAATCTTCTAGTTGGAGTAATCTAATTAAGGCTTTAATATTGGTGCAGAAAGTTTTACCAAATGATCATCTTTCAGACATATATCACAATGGCGATCTTTGATCACAATGACTTGTACTGCTCGATCAAACGAGAAGCATGGAGGCGCGACGTAGGAGCCACGGTGCAGCCCAAACTTTGCAGATAAGAAATCTGGTAATTCACAACATGAGAAACGAATTACCGGGTCTCAACCATCCTAGATACCAATGTGCGCACAAGAAAAGGTGTAAGGTAATCAAATGCTGAGTCTTGCGTACCTGTTTCGGTGTTGGTTCGGATGAACCCATTGAGTTCTCAATCCGTAACTTCTGGAAATGCTCCTGAAAGCATAAATATATGTATGGATTAAAACCAACGACAAATGAACATAATTTACGGACAGTGCTTGAAGAAGATACAGACATAACCGCCTCGGCATTTCATTAACGAAAGTTCTAGATTTTGATGTATCAAATGTCCCACGTTGAGACCGCGTTAAGGAAAATGGTTCTAGAATTTGGCTCAGAACTTGAATCATAAGTTCAGACAACGAAAAGTAATAGTTTGCCACCGAAAACAATCAAAGTATGGCAAAGTGAACCGTCTTAAACCTAACCTGTTTCTCCCTCATCAAATGAGCACGTTGATCTGCAGGTATTTTCTGCCATCTCAAAACCTGTTACAAAGAAATATAACATTGATGTCGAGCTGGCTAGCATATTATACCAATTATGTGCACAAACCTATTGAAATGAAGTAGATGTAGTTGCATATTACGACAGATGTTAACGAAAACAACAGAAGGCTTGCCTGTTAGAGATGCTAAATCCAGCGATCCTTTTGTTTTTGGTTTCAGAAATTTACAGAGCACAAATCAGAAAGTACCAAGAATACTTACATATTGGGCATAATGAAATGCATCTTCATCTTTCAAGCAAGATTTGAGTGAGCGCAAACTGTCCTGAGAGTTACATAGAGTCGATCAGTAATATAAAAACATAGATGCATCACACCCAAATACAAGTATTCAAACACCGACAACTTCATGTGGTGAGGCATGTTAAAATATAGGGTAGAACAATTATTGAATAGGAAGTTAAAGGACTAAATTTATGACCTTGTGTTTGTAGTTCTTGGCTCGTATGCGTTCATCTATTACAAAACCGACCTGTAACAGGTACAACAGAAAATATAAGCAGTAGTCAGAACATTAATCATCGCCATTCACATTGCCTCCAATCCAAAGTTAAAAGTCTAAAGGCAAAACAGTATGATTCTTATCTCTCAAACAAAAATGAAACTAAACCCCGGCCTCAGACATGCATAATCCTAAGTATATTGTTAAGCTTTCATATCTCAAGAGTCAAGACTGTCACAACTCACAACTACACATCATAAATGAAATAAGTTCTACTGCCTTAACTGAGTACTCCAATTCACCTTGTCAAGTAATCTCTTAGGATCTTGAAATGCTTGCTTCTTAGCCCAGTCATTAAATAAATGAGAGATAATCGATCTCTCATCCACACTGAATCTATTGCACAGTGACACAAGCATAAAGTTAGTCATGAATATAACCAACCAAAAATGCTAATTATAATAGTATACCCATCACAATTGGAAGCTAAACCTTTTTAAGAAACCATTTCCATGGTTTTCCTCCCCAAATTCCATCGATTCTGCAGAAGCATCGTCAAATTTACTGTGATGGAGATCATTTTGCACCATAACAACTTCAGAAGGTAGGAGGTTTGGTTTGGGATCATCTGTCAATGGAATAGATTCTTTTGAAGTATCATGATGCTTTGATTGTAAGCCTTCTGTACTTATGTCAGCCTACAAAACAAAAATTTCATTCATCCACACTAGATTTAATATGATTCAAAACACTTCAGATTCTTCATTATTTGTAAGTTTGGCTAAACAGCAGAACAACTGAGGATAATGAACAGTAAAACACACCTGGACTTCTCGTAGATGATTTGGAATTTCTTTCAGAAATCGCGAAGGTTGAAGCATCTGAAGGAGTCACCTTCTCAGTCAGAGCGACAATAACAAATAAGGAGGACAGGAATTCAAGCTAAAACGAACCTGCCAACTGGAATCCATCGTAACATAAAGAATGAAAAGCTTTTTTCGAGCACGAGTCATTGCAACATATAAGAGGCGCCTTTCCTCCTATGATTAGAGTGGGATTATTGAGTTATTGACCAAAAGAAAAAAGAATGGGATTATTGAGTAAAACACTTCAAAGTTCTGTATATAACTGACAAATGTTGAACAATTTACCACACACCTCAATGGAGGTCCCATTCTCTTTTGCAATGCCATTGAATTCATGCAACAATGGAATCTCAGATTCATTTACCTGTGTTATTGGCATGAGCGTTAAAGCAAGCTAAGATGACTTTGAAGAGGTTAATACCATCATGAATATAGTGGAACAGAATACTAATTTCAAGCCATCAGTTAGGTATAGCATCGGCATGTTTAATCCGTAAATCTAATGACGAAACACATCAACTCTGCACATAAATAAATAAATATAGTAACAACTAGAAAACTATTACAGCCACTGTTAAGGAAAATACCTTAATTATGAAAACTATATCCCACTCTAAACCTTTTGACTGCAAGAGAGTGAAAAAGAAAGAAAGTAAGCCAAGAATGTTTTGTAGAACTCCGAACGAAGACAAATAAGGAAATCATCGCAAGTATAAGAATTAGGAAGGTTTGCATAAGAAGAATATCAAAACGATCTAGAACCTGATGAATGGTAGTCAAAGTGACAGAACTTTGGTTGTCATGTCTTCTGGAGCGAAAATTTTCACTCTCCCGCTCAGATATGTAGTCGATGAAAGCTTTGAGTAAATTAACACAGCCTTTTTCTTCTGCTATGACTTCTCTCTCCCCTTCTCCCGCAACAAAATGAGTTGATAAGAAATCAGATACATCGTCCAGTAGGTACTGAAGAACCTGCAATGAGAATAATCACATCGCAACAAGATTTAAGTGACAGCAATGATTAACTAAATAAAATAGAGCAATTATTCATTTAAAACCTTGTTGACTGAAAAAAGGGTTTTTCAAATAGTGGGTCTTTTAAGCTTATTGTATAAATGACAATCATCATAACTTACAGATCTCATGTCATTGTCTTCATTCAGCAGTTTTCCTCCATCTACATCCACGACCGCACGTTGCCCAAGAAGGTACTTCTAAAAATTGAAAGTCAAACGAGAAATTAAATAAGAAACATTGAATATAAGCATGAAACAAAGAAAATGTTATGGAATGGTGATCCTCATCCTCAAAGATGATTAAAGGCAATTTGATTAAAAAATGCCATATCAACATTCAACAGTGGAGAAATGGAAGACAAACCTGTGGTACCATATTCGCAACCGAGGTTATGACAGCTGAAATCGATTGTTCCTGTGTGCATTGATAAGTGAGACTACCATATAGATTCAAAACTACATAAAGACAGATTCCATGGAACAAACTATATCCCTTTGGAAACAAAGATCTAACAAAGAATATAACATTTTGGATTAACATTGATGAATCAAGAATAATGCATGGGAGCAAAAAATACTCTTCCTTCTAATAACAAGAAGGCATAAAGTATATAACTGTCCAATAAAACTAAAAAAATCACCAAGGAAACAGAATCTCACTTGAGCTATATCCTTTTTATCTGTTGAGATTCGCAAACTACTACTAGTACATCATGCCAATAAGCAGTAAGAGGTGCTACACTTTACCAAATATATTTACCCTGAGAACAAGTTTTGAAATCATCTCTAAAGTTAACAGCACCTTGCGTCCCTGGGTAAGCTGAGTCCTATTACCAAGTAAAGAGACCGATCAATACATATCCAACAGATTTTAAACACTTGTAATACCAAATAAGAATGAAACATGAGTATATTTTGAGTTAACCATGCAAAAATGTATGTTAAAACATCTTTGTTATACAGACCTCTTCAAGGTACCAGAAATTTTTGCACTAAAGATGTCACAAGCAGCTGATATGAAGCTGCATTTTCTATGAGTCAAAATTTTGTCGATATAATCAATCACCTGAAGAGAGAGAGGGAGTGATTTCCAGAGATGTGAGCCTAAAGGTTGAGTGTGTAAAAAAGAAGATTAGATGGATAGCAAGAACATACAACTGTAATGCTGAAAAGAACATTAAATATGATGCTCATTCATCGTTGTCATCGAACGTATACCTTCTTCTTTTCCTCTTTCTCAAAAGGAAGTAAAGCCTTGAAGACTTGCCTATATGAACCATCATCACAACCAGGCAAAGTCGTTTTAATCATAGCAATAATGGCTCTAACTACCTGCCATAAGAAAAGTGCTACATCAACAAGCATTATCAGAGTGTACTAAAACCTTATGTAGCAAAATCTTAGATAGAATAGCTGGCCAAAAGGCAATGAAAAAGCAAGTACAAAAAACAATGAAAAGGACCAGTGATGCCAAAATTCAGGTGGAAAAGGTGAAAAGCTTAAGTCTATTACAGTTCTTGTGTGCATGCTTTCTAACTTGAGTTCTACATAGCAAAAACCACGTTATGCAAAACAATATTAGCAAAATTAGATGGATAAATCTGAGAAGATAGTTTTTCATAATCTGGACAAATGCTAACTACCTTCTTCCTATAAATGGCCACTCCATGAACATTAAATGGTATTTTCCTTTCACGCAAGGCTGTCTGGAAGACTTTTCCTGATACCTGTAGTATAGAATACAAATGAAAATATGTCAAAAATGTCTTATATGATTCACCTCATTCACATTAGTACTAGGGAAAGTAAGCTTGACCTGCCTCCGGTAAAGGATTGCTATGCTTCCATAGGAGCACCCTGCTTCTGACCGTTTAGATGCAGTCTCTAGGATCTTGTCTACAACAAAGGCGCATTGTGCATCCTCATTGTGACTTTCCTTGATAATTACCTACATTTTGCCAGTAAAACCATTTTGAAGTGTCACTAACTGAAAAAGGACATCAAATGTACTTGTTGGAGCAAGGAAAGATTCAGTACCTTAGACCCAGAAGAATTGTCGGTGTCAACATTCTTTAATTGGCATCGCTTCTTATTGTTTTTTATAACAGAAGATGCAGCTTCCACAATATAGCGTGTGGACCGATAGTTTTTATTAAGCCTAATCTGAACCATAAAGTTATGTCAAATCTCACAGACCCCATAAGATAAACTGTAGTTATACAATATATTTGCTCTGTATATAATAAAAAAGACACTGTGAATGACGTAAGATAACATAGCAGTCAAGTGCGAATCGTACCTCTTTGTAATTTGAAAAATCTTTACGAAAAGACTCAAAACCAGAAATGTCTGCCCCATTGAAACTGAAAATGGACTGCAGCAGGATATACATTATTTAATGCAGAACAGCTAAGGGCTTGATTAGAATGAGCTGAGAGAGAGAGAGAGAGAGAGAGAGAGAGAGAGAGAGAGAGAGAGAGAGCAATAAAATTGAACTTCCATTAATAAATCAACAACATACCTGATCATCATCACCAACAATGGTTATATGGTTATGAGATGAGAGAATCCGCAAAAGACTATATTGCATAGCACTTGTGTCTTGAAACTCATCTATTACAATAGCTTTCCATAATTCCTGGCACTCCTTCAACACTAGTTAACAGACACCATGTATCAACATTTAGCTTTCCTTGTTAAATGAGATGAATCAACTAAATATACTTAGATGATACAGACCTTCAGGAAAATCACTTAGCAGCTTCACAGAGCAGCTAATTAAGTCATGGTAGTCCAAAGCATTGCACGAGTTTAAGATATCATTGTAATTCCTAAGAATTTCGCCCTGATTCAGATTGAGAGCTAAAACTCGTAAGCAATAGTATCTGAGAACTGAAAAGATATCTAAAATATCTAGTTATGAGCTTACTCCTGTCACATCACCCATTCTTCGGCATTCAGCAGGAGTCTTTCCAGAAGCTTTTGCCTGAAACATAAATAAATTTATTGCCTAATGCCACATATTCTAAGACTGAAGAACCCTTATATTGGTCATTATAGCTTGACTGTAGCTAATATTTTTTTTAATTCACTATAATCTGAACATTAAATTTGGTATTCAAGACTAACCTGTGTCACAAACTTCAGCCATTTCTTTGATGCATCCTTAAAATGATGTGGAGATGTTACACCGTTAGATTCTTCCCCATCTATAGCAACATTAAGGTTTGTTTTACTCTTTTCATCTTCTGATAACCGCACAGCTTCAATGATTGCTCTTCTCTGTTGCCCATGTCCATATATCAAAAATTCTGGTGTGCGTTCGAGTCTAAAACATAAGCCAACATATCAGACTCAGCTATACCACCATATGTATGCTGTTCAAAATCAAGGGAGGTGAATCTATAGCTTACTTCTCAGCATGTGATCGGCAAAGTTGCAACGAAAATGAATGAAATGTGCTGATTGTAAGTAGTTTTGCCGTTGGTTTCCCAGTCACGGCTCCAATTCGATCTCTCATCTCAGAAGCTGCTGCTGTAGTGAAAGTCATTGCTAGAATGTTCAACGCGCTAATGCCCTAGGAACACAAAAGAAAACAAATAAGACTTCGATCATAAAGATAAACAGACATTAAAGAAAAAGTTGGAGGGAAAGTGGCAAGACCTCATTGAGCAGCATTAGAACGCGCCCAACCATCGTTGAAGTCTTTCCACTTCCAGGGCCGGCAACAATCATCAAAGGTACTGAAATATCGCTGCAAGCTGCCTCGCGCTGCCTTTCATTGAGAGATAGCAAATACTTCGAATACTCATCCGGCATGTTAGGCAATCCATGGTTAACAGAATCTGTTTGGTTTTCACTACCCAAAGGCGGCGCTGATGCGGCACTAACATCACTACCACAACTCCCAATATCATCACGCTGAATGTCCACACTCGGTTTCTGCTCGATTAAAGCGTCAATTTCCTGCAAAATACTCTCATCGAAATCATCATCGCCAAGAATTCCACGTGCAGAGAAAGAACTGAATGAAGTTGGAAAATGCGGTTGTCCGATTGGAGTTGTGAAAGAATCCGATTTTGACACACTTGATTCAATCCGGCTAATGCTTAAGCTCCCGGAACACGAAGCACTGCCATATTCACCACGCGCTGAATTGTACCGGCTTGCGGAAATCGGAGGCGGTGTGTTCATCGGTAGCTCGGAAAGAGGAGTTCTTTGAACTCTATTGAGCTGAGCTGGCGTTTGGATTCCATTTCCGCCACAAATTCTGGAATTTTGAAAACACAATTGAATTGACTTAAATTGAAGCAAGAAAACAGCCGAGTACCAAAAAAATAATGAGAAGATGAAATCTTTGATTCCTGAACGACTTACTTGGTATGAGGGAGGTGATGATCAGATGAAACGGCGTCGTTGCGGGGGCGTTTGCGATCAATGAGGGCCTTGGCGGCTCTGAAATTCCGAGAGATGCGGTTTCTTTGTTCCACCGTGAGCCCTCCGCCGTACGTCTGAACGTTTTCTTTGGACATTGCTTTGAAGATTCCGACGGAGGATTTGGCCTGACGGCCTGACCAGGCAACCCTAGAAAGAAGAGGGAGCGAAGAAGACCAAATGTGCCCGTTTTTTCTTCGGTTTTTTTCCCTCCTAATCGCGCTGTTCGAAATCCTTGGGCCTGAGCCTAGTGGGCCCAATTGTCAGGCCCATTATCTCCGGTCTTCTAGTTCTACTTATAGTTACCCAAGTTAACAACGTACCGGTTCGCTTTTAGCGCGAGAGAGAAATGGAGGCCCTGATTGCCTCGTACGGAGACTCGTCGTCGGACTCAGGCTCCGAGTCGCCGGCTCCACCTCCGCCACCACCTTCAGAGCTCAAAAACTCTAAAGAACCGACCACTGCGCTGCCTCCACCTCCTCTGTCACTTCTCGACAGCCCCAATTCCTTCGGTAACCTCTGATTCCCATCAATTTTCTATCTTTTAGCTTTCTGTTGTGATGGCTTTTTCCGAGTTGCCCACCAAATGTTTGGTGTTTTGCCTCTGAAGGATTTCTGGACTTCTCCCCAAGCGCCCAGCCGAGCAGAGTTCGGAACTTTGCTCACGTCGAAGGGAACTACGCAGTACATGTATATATCCCAGGTAATCAAAATTCTCGAATTTTTCAGCTCTATTAGCAAATGCCATCGCTTTGCACTTAGTTTTTGCTTGTTTAATTGTGTGGTTCCAGTTCATATACCACCAGCACCGAGGAAAGAGATGGCCTTGTTTTTGAACAAGCTAGCTTCTCTGGTGCCTGGTCTCCATGCCGTTGACGTTGACGTCCCGCTTGACGTTCTGCGTAAGGATGAGCGTAAGCTTGAACAGGTTGCTTTAAGCAGAGAGTTCCATATAAGTCTCGGAAGAACTGTTCCGATTCGGGTGCACCAGATTGATTCCTTGGTGACAATGCTGCGGCAGAAGCTTCAGATTCAGAGGCGGTATGGTTACATTTACATTCTCTTGTCTGCATTGTGTGAATTTAGTTCTGTTATTTAACATAATTCTGTAAGCCTGCAAATTTTTCGTCCATTTTCGGTTTAACACATTTTGTTATTGTGAAACAGGTATTGGATTGATTTTAGCAAGTGGGAGGTTTTTGTTAACGATGATCAGACCCGGACCTTTGTGTCGATCGAAGTCATTGCTGCTGGGTTAGCTGAGGTATGATTGCTAGCTTTCTCTCTTGGTGCAATTCTAAATGTTTTCAGTTGTTATATGGGCTTAAGATTTGGTAAGTACTTGCCGAGAGTCATGGGATTTTGAGATATCGATATCTTGCTTGCTTATTAGCTTAGATTGTTTGGTCTTCTGTGCACTTGTAACATGAAAAGCACAAACGAAAACTAATGCATGATATGCTCATGGTTTTAACATGTGTTGTCCTGGCATAAATCATGTTCCTAAGCCTATGAAACTTAGGGCACGTTTGCCTGGCCGGACAAGATTGGAATTGGTATTTCAGACTAGTTAGGTTAGGATTGAACCGGATAGGTTAGGTTTTTTGTCTAATGATTGGTGTAGACTGTCTCAACTAGACATCCCAACGATGGGATTTAAAACGTGAAACAGATCCGCGACATCCCAACGATGACCCACACACCCAGCAACTCTGCTCGTGACTTGCAACACCACTCGTACCCTCCACGCCCCTTGTGGCCCATCATACCACCCTGATATCCTGGAGGAGTGAAACGTGGTTACTAGAAGCATTCCTGTTTTCGTATTACTGCACGGTTGAATCAGCTTTCATTGTCTACAAGTCTGAAATATTTCAACTTCCATTGATTTCAGATAACAAAGCAGATTCAAGCTGTCAATGAGGTGTATAAGCTTCACAATCTTCCTGAATTTTACAAGGTTAGCTTTTTCGTGCTTTTCTAACTTGAAATTACTTACTGAATATATGACAATATATTGGAGCAAATGATTGTGTCTGAATACTACTCATTGCTCAAAAAACTAAATCACTTCATGGGGTGTTGGTGATCACAGGATCCGCGCCCTCACATATCGGTAGCTTGGGCATTGGGTGACATCAGCAATTCCCTGAAGAAAGTGGTTGAAGAAGAAAGACGAAGATCTACCTTCGGAGGATCGTTACAGAAATGTATTTTTACCAGTAAATTCAATGGTATCGAATGTAGGATTGGTAATAAAACACACAAAATATGTAAATTTTCTGAAGAATAATGTAGCCATTTAACTATAATGTGAAATTTCGAGAATATATCGCTTAGCATTGGATGAGAAGACATTTCTTCGTTGGTGTCGAACTTCATGTCGAAGGTATTGACACCAGTGTAAACGCCATCATCCATGTTGATGATAATTACTTCCCAGCTACTAAGGGTGTCGGAACAACCTTGCACGCAGCCTCCTGTGCATTACTTAGTATTGTCTCAGTTTCTCCAAACTTGAATGCTCCTGTAAACCCACTCTTGACCTTTCCGTCATCTACGATTACCGGAAAGCTGGCTTGGATGTTGCCGTTGACCTACCAAACTTAAAATACCGACGAAATGTTGGAGTACTTTCAGTGTACTACTCGTTTTTGTAAGCGAGACTAGTCCTTCATTCCCGTTAACTCTTTGCCATCTCCACTTCGAACTTGGCGTAATGGCTCCCGGCCTCTTCTCTGGTGAAATTGACCCCGGAACTGGCGTGCCATCAAGAGAAACATAGGACATTATCACACCAGTTCCAAGACAATATTTGCATCGCTTATGCTCCTGCTGTTTCACATTGTTTATTTCAATTACCATCAATGCTGAGATCACTCCGACTGCTCCTCCAGAGAACGATGCCACTATGGGATCAACTTGACTGCAGTTTGAAAGTATAGGAGATCAAAAAATGAAACTGGTAACAACATAGTATCAACATTATTTAGCTTCGTTTCAAGAAAGATGACATCCTAGGTTTTTCTAATGCGTAAAAATTGAGGATCCTCGTAAAATTTGACTATATTGATTCCCAAAGTATTTGATTCCTACATTGCAGACGGAAAACAATAACAATTGAATTTAAAGATTCATAACACGATAGATGGTACAAAATTTCAAAATGATAATTACTAGAGAACAGGAGGGTTAGTAGCCTGAGATATGAGCCATACCTCAACTGCAACGGCAGATGCATATTTACTATAAAGTCTTCATATGATGTCCCTCCTATTCCCAGCTTCAACTCCAACTGAAAGATGTAAAGGTAATTGTAGGCAAAGAGTTACAAACATAACCGAATCCATGTTTTACAAGCAACAACTACACTTATTTGATATGTTTCCTCATTTTTTACTTGCAAATTCCGAACCATATTGTCGGACCAGTAAAAGAAAATAATGTTTATCATAACTGTTAAAACTAATCACAACAAGTTAATGCATAAAGAACTTACTGAGGGTGTTATGAGGCCACCGAAAAGGATAAACCCTGCAACAATTGAATAACAAACAGCATAATACTGCTTAAGGTTGTCTGAACTCTGCAAGCAATGCATTCACCTTGTGATTAATACTTTGCACAAACACTAGTTTTCACAACTTTTTATGAACCGACAAAAGGCTACAACAAAATATGGCTAAAACAAGTCAGGGATATGAAAATACACATATTTACAGGAGCAGCAGCTTACCAGGGGAGGCAAAAATGGAATGAATGATGGAAAACTAGGAAGTTCGTTTTCTTGATCTTCATTTACCGCTCCAAGCTCTGCGCGTTTAATTCGCTGTTGTATCCTCAGCCTGCGAATCTACGCATATCAAAGCTCATTCTTAAAGAACACATTTCTAATGGCAATTGGAGAGTAATTTAAAACATGCTAAACTGAGAACGTGGTAGCAACTAGCAGTTGCTCTCACCTCCTCAATATGCAAGAAAATTTTGTTGCGCCGACTCCGAATATTATCTTGAATTTCCTGCAGCTCCATTGTGGCAAAGTTCTGCACTGTTTCAAGCTCCTCTATGATACAAAATCTGCACCATTAAGCATGTAAAAACTAAAAATTACAGGCTACAAAGCAATTTCCATATCATTGTGGGGTTAATTAACATCAACAGCAGATAAATCACATGGCGTCTTCACATAAAGTTACAAACTTTCAAAGACCAGTAAGCTGTCTGCAGTCTCATAAATTTCACAGTGCAAAGTAACAATCCAAAGCTTTGAACTTTCAATTTCCACTTTCTGTTAATTTCCTAGAGAGAGAGAGAGAGGGGGAGTACCCGGCGGGGTTTGTATCGGAGGTGGGATTGGGATCAGAATCGACAGATGGAGCGAAAGAGGAGTTGGGCTCCGAAGCCATCGCCATAGATCGCCATCTGGAGCTGCTTGTTGATATGCAGAGTTTGCTGATGATTCATACGACAAGCAATTGAAAATCCCATCATTATACCCCACATCATTTACACAAATTCAGAGGGCTCATCCACTGTAATTTGCAGATATAGAAATGTTAAGATTAAAGGAAATGCAAACTACCCTTCACCCAAATTGGAGGAGCACCGGTGGCATTAGCAAGTTAGCAACGGGAATTGACATACCAATATCTTCACAGTTTCTGCACAAGCACAAATCAAAAGAATCCGGCGGTGCAGTTATGTACCTCTCCTTGGAAAATGCCACCTCTTGGGATTTCAAAATGTGTGGCCGTGGCTAGCCGTCTGACCAAAGCTGCCGCAACGCGGCGTAGTGTCCGATTGATTGCTTCAAAACAGAGCTTCGTATCCATGTGTTTATCAGCACAGAGTACCCAAAACCCCTGAAAATTATTTTTTATTCAGATAATAAAATTTCCCAAATTTCGAATTTTAAATCCGAACCAAAAATAGGGTTTGAAATTTGATTACCTAAAAATTGGGGGGTTGGGGTGGAGAGGGACTCGGGCCAAGACGGAGCTGTGTGTCTTTGATAAGGATTGCCAAATTACAGAGTGTGTCGGGAAGATGTACAAGGCTTTTGCAGTTTGTCAGATCCAAACACAGAAGCCCCGTAAGCCGTTCAATCCAGGGGGAAAGCTCTTTGATAGATGTTCCATCTAAGAGAAGATCTCTTAATCCTTCCATATTTTCTTCAATGCTTGGAAACACCTCAAATTTTGTACAACCGGAAAGAGAGAGACGGCCAAGGGACTTGAGTTGACAAAGGCTGCTTGGAAGACTCTTAAGTTCCTTGCAACTGTTTAGCTTCAAATGATTCAATCCTCTGAGATTATTAATTGACGAGGGCAGTTCTTTAATTTTTGACCTGGATAAATCAAGAACTTTTAACCCCTCAATCACTTCCGAAATCTCTGGAAACTTCTCAAGACTCGAGCAACCATAAAGATTAATGGTTTTGAGAGATTTCATACGAATGCTGCTTGGAAGACTCTTAAGTTTCTTGCAACCTAGTAGATTCAAATGACTCAACCCGGTAAGATTATTAATTGACATGGGCAGTTCTTTAATTTTTGACCCGGTTAAATCAAGCTCTTCTAACCCCTCAATACCTTCTGAAATCAATGGAAACATCTCAAGATTGGAGCAGCCATAAAGATTAAAGGTTTTCAAACATTTCATATGAATGCAGCTTGGAAGACTCTTAAGTTCCTTGCAATTTGAAAGGTTCAAATGACTCAACCCCGTGAGATTATTAATTGAAAAGGGCAGTTCTTTAATTTTTGACGAGGATAAATTAAGCTCTTCTAACTCATCCATACCTTCTGAAATCTCTGGAAACATCTCAAGACTGGAGCAGCCAGAAAGATCAAAGGTTTTGAGAGATTTCATACGAATTTTGCTGGGTAGAATCTTAAGTTCCTTGCACCCATTCAGATCCAATAAAACAAGGTTTGTAAGAGTCGAAATAGACAGGTGAACCTCAACTAAGCTTATACAACTTTGAACAATTAGCCTCTCAAGATTTGGCACATTTGTGAAGTCAGGGGTTTCCTTAAGGCATTGACAATAACTTAAATTGATGAATTTCAACTTTTCCTGCTTCTGTTAAAACATTCAGCAAAACATGCATTAGCTAATAAGACATCTCACTCAAAGCCCAAACATTTAAAAGAAACAAATACATGTAAATGATTGTACATACCTGGGTTCCTTCCCAAAGTCGGTCAATGAGACTATATTGCATGTCAAGTCCAACAAGATTTTCGAATTGAAAGTTGGATGGCAAAGACTTGAGAGGGAATCCAGACCAGGAAAGACACCTCAACTCACTAGAAAGAAACTTTAAGGGCCCGGTCAGGTGTTGTATGCCGTGAGCACTGATCTTGAGAAGTCTTAGTTTAGTCATCCTATCAAAAGCTTCTACAATTAAGCATCCCTCATCTGAGTTCCACAAATCTAGGATTATGCTTTCAACTGTTTCTGTACCCTGTGCAAATCAAAGGGAAGGAAAAAGCAGAGAACCTAGTTTAGATTATGAAGTTAATGCTTGTTTCTTAAGGAGTTGTTTGATAATAATTTTGTTTTCAGTTTTCACTTTTGTTTTGATTATTTTTTTTAGAAATCTAAAAATTGAAAACACATAACTTGTTTGTAATTGTTTTCAATTTTCAATTATTTAAAAAATTAAAATTAAAAATTAAAAATGGAAACAAAAAGTGGTTATCAAACGAGCTTAAGAAATTGATTGCTTTCTACTAAACATTTCATAAGGAAAAAAAATTATCACCGTATTTTTAGTTATCACATGATGAACATCTTCATAACTCCACAACCTACTTCGTCTTCCAGGCTCTTTGGTAGATTCTTGGTGGACGATTTTCCGACCCATTTCCTCTAGTAAATCATGCATCTCCAGTACCCCATTCCTTGTGACAGTTAAGAGAGCTCGATCGATTAGAACTCTTATTCCAATATCAGGATAGAAACCACAGCTGTGCAGAATTTCGATTGCATAGTCTTCTCTCATTCCTTTAAAGAAACATGCAATATCAAGAAAGATATCCTTCTCCGTGTCATCTAGTCCATCGAAGCTTGTTTTAAGCACATCATGAATTCCCCTTTGCGGGATTTTCTTTATTTTTTCCAACTCATTTTCCCACTGGCATACATTTTTGTTATCAAGAAAAGCTCCCAAGACTTTGAGTGCTAAAGGCAGACCTTGAGCATATTTTACGGCACGACTCGAGAGATCATCATAATCTCTGTTGGGTTGGTTTTTTCTACAGGCGTACCGCCTAAAGAGTTCCAGAGCTCCATAATCACTTAAAATCTTGGGCTTATATATCTCATCAGCTATGCTTAGTAATTGCGAATCTCTAGTTGTTATGATAATTCTACTTCCACCACCAAAGGAATGTTGCTCTCCAAGTAAAGCTTCAATTTGTTCTAATGTGTCCACATCATCCAGAACAATAAGAACTTTTCTCTGACCTAGGCTATTTAACATCACCTGGAAACCTTTCTTCGAAATGTCGGAACTCCCCACCTTGTTGTTCGAGATACTAGATAGAAGTTCTGTCTGCATATGTAGTTTGCCGTGCTTCATGAAACCTTCCTTGATATTTTCAAGAAAGCAACAAGCTTCAAATCGACAAGAGATATCATCATAAACAGCTCTAGCGATGGTTGTTTTGCCTAAACCACCCATACCCCATATTCCAACAACGCGAACATTATTCGTTTCACCTCCGGGAGGATATAATAATAAATGCATTTCATCCATGCGAGAATCCATTCCAACCAAGCCATTCTCTTTCCTTGATGATGATGAGATGTCGATCAATTTCCTATAAACATCTTCTACAATTTTCTCGATAAGCACTGCATCAGTCCTGTCAAATTTTACAAACAATATAATAACAACACCAAATGATAATTAATGGGTCTTTTTCATCTGTTAGTTTTCAAAAAATAGAAATTAAAATTAAAAATTAAAAATTTATCAAATTACCCCTAAACGTTACAAAAATCCCAAAAATTAATAGGAAACTAAAACAAATTAGAATTTACTCATATTTTCGCGAAACCCAGCCGGATAAACTGGTGGCAGTTGTAAGAGCGGATCTCCAGCTCCGAACCCCTTCCATTTCGGCGTTAGAATCACGATCGTGCTCAGCAAAAGCTTCCGCGAAACGTTGACGAACATCAGACGGCTCAACGTCATGGAAAATGGGGAGGACAATCTGGTTATTGGTATCCTTGCATTCCAGGATTTGCACGAGTTCTTTCAAGCACCAAGTGGAAGAAGCATAGTCTTGAGAGAAAACTACAATCGAAAGCCTTGACTCTCGAATCGCTGTCAGGAGCTCAGAAAGGTGGTCGCCTTTTCTGAGCTTCTCGGCATCAATGAAGGCGTTGATTGGTTTCTTAACCAGAGCGTTGTAGAGATGGCTGACGAAGCCCCTGCGAGTGTCTTCCCCTCTGAAATTGATGAACACATCGTATTTCCAACCAAGGCAAGCAGAAGAAGAAGAAGAAGAAGAAGCCATTAATCGATCGCACCTGGTCAGCGATGATCGAGCAGCTAAGACTAAGAGAATTGTAAGTACAGAAATACTCAACAGATCTACAAATTGGATCACCGGAAATTAGTAAGAGTCAATGCAAAAGGGTAAAGGGAAATTGTGCTTTATGTGTTTTCACATCTTCTTCAGGAAATTTCGGTGTGAAAGGAATCCACATACTTTTGATTTTTTAACCCAAGAAAATGCGAAGAAAGGGCTCAAAGTAGTAAATTTAATCTACAGTTGCCTACCCAACAACTTCTTGATTTAATATATTTAATTGAGAAAAGTAGTTAGGATGGTATCTACTTTTCTTCTCTCTCCATCAGTCAATCTTCCAGCGTGCAATTTAATCATGATTAAAGCTAAGCTTAATCTTAGGTCGTATTATTTAGGTATAATTGGATTCTTAATTCTTTTGTGATATAGTAATTGGAATATTAAAAAAAAATATGATTTAAACATTTGTGATGAAGTCTGTTACGATTGAGAATCAAAATTGGAAATTTCGTTAACTCCGTTAATTGTTAGCACATGATACTCACAAATGAAACTGAAAAAATAAAGTTAGCTCATATGTAATCTTCAAGTGCTAATATTTAAATGAGAGTTCCGTTTTAACTTAATATGTGTGGCTCACGTGCTAATAATTAACGGAATATTAACAAATTTTTTAATTTTATGCATAAATTCTAATAGACTTCACCACATGAGCTTAAATTATAATTTAGATATCTTCTAACTATCTTATCACCACAAAAATTATTAATCAAATTAAACTTATTATTTATTTATAAATGCGTAACTAAATCACAAAGTGTTGAATGAAAAGCAGCACTCCAAATGATGAAAAGCAGGGCACCGGCAGCTATCTCCGTTTCTTTTGTTGTAATTCAATATCGATGGAAATCCAACAGGATCTTTTTCAAATTTTTGTGAGGATTTTGAGAGGGTCGTGAATCGTATTTATTCATTATATATTGTGCGATTATTTTTCATCGAATATTGTTTATGTTTAATTTAAAATAAAATAATTTAAAATAATTTTTTATTGCAAGATGTACGATGAACGGATATGATTCATAGATTTCCAAAATCTTCATAAAAAAAAAAATACAAAATGGATCCTAATTCAATAGAAATAAGCTAATTTTGAATCAAATGACATTACTTTATTTTGTAAGTAAATTAATTTTGAATTGAACAACATTCATTTATTATGTGAGTAATTCATTTTGTATGTGTCATCATATATTAGGCACATTTTATTATAGGTGATTTTATGAAAAATCAATAAAAAGTTACAATATTAACAATAGATCAACAATATTTATATTAATTATAAATAGATCAATCATGATACTTAAATGCATCTAAAATAAATAAAAATTACACAATTTGTCATTACAGCTGACATCTATTTCAACTAACATTCACCTCCACATAGTTTTTATATTTGGAATAAATCATACGAATCGGAGACATGATTGTTCCCTGATAACATGAATAAATGAGTAATGTTATTCATATCATATTTTTATACCACATTTTTATACAACCTTAGATGACATCTGATGTGAACAGCCATTTGCAAAACCCAAGGAAGAGAAGGAGAAAGACTCTTCGTATACCATAATCATCATTTAATTAACTAGTTTTTTTTAATTATTAGTTTATTGAATAATGAACTAAATTTAAAAATCTGATTAATTCAAATGATATGACTGTCCACATCAAATGACATCTAAAGTGATATGAAAATGTGGTACAAAAACATGGTATGTATAGCATTATTATATAAATTGAGTAAACACCAAAAGTAGCAGCAAGGGAAGGAGATGTGAAGTAGATGAAGAGGTGTACGACATGTGAATGTCCAACAACAAAGACTTCGGGGCTTGTTGTCGAATATCTGCAGCGCATCATTTCTGATATATCAAATCGAGCCAATTCCCGCAAACTCCAATCCCACCACCACCTTTCCAGCCGGACTCAGCCCTCCGGGCGGCATTTGGCAGGACAGCACTGGATCAAACAAGAATGGGACTGGCAGTGGGAGCAATGAACGACCACACTCAGCAGGGAAGTCCATCATGGGTTCTAACCACACTTTGTTTCTCTACTTTGTGGCTTCCAACACGATTGGATTTTTTGTTTCACTGTACATGATCAATGTCCTCACCAGCAATTTCCCTTTGCAGTTGGAGCTTCAAATTTGTATTGTCGCGATGTACAGCACGTACAACACTGCAGTTTTCAGCATTGCACCGGAGAACGTGCGGTACTTAGTCTTTCTGTTCTCTGTAGTTTATAATGGTGTTTGTTCTATAAGTCGGCATCTTTGCCAACCGCAATCGATACTGTCGTTTGATACTGCAAATGAAAACCTGGTGGGTGCGCAAAATTTCGAGCCAATCCTACTATCTTACAGACTGTAGGAAGAAAGGAACAATGTTGTTGGTAGCACAAAAGTTCATAATCTTATAGTTGGAGTAATCTAATTAAGGCCTTAATATTCATGCAGAAAGGTTTACAAAATGATCGTCTTTCGACATGTATCAGAATGGCGATCTTTAATCATAATGACTTGTACTGCTCGATCAAACGAGACGCATGGAGGCGCGACGTAGGAGCCACGGTGCAGCCCAAGCTTTGCAGATAAGAAATCTGGTAATTTACAGCATGACAAACAAATTACTGGGTCTCCTGACCATCCTAGATACCAATGTGTGCACAAGGAAAGGAGTAAGGTAATCAAATGCTTGAGTCTTGTGTACCTGTGTTGGTGTTGGTTCGGATGAACCCATTGAGTTCTCGATCCTTAACTTCTGGAAATGCTCCTGAAAGCATAAATATATGTAATGGATTTAAACCCATGACAAATTGACATAATTTACGGGCAACGATTGAAAAAAATACAGATATAAATGCCTCAGTATTCCATTGACGAAAGTTCTAGATTTGATGTATCAAACGTCCCACGTTGAGACTGCGTCAAGGCAAATGGTTCTCGAACACAAAGCAATAGTTTGCTACCGAAAACAACCAAAGTATGACAAGGGGAACCGTCTTAAACGTAACCTGTTTTTCCCTCATCAAATGAGCACGTTGATCTGCAGGTATTTTCTGCCATCTCAAAACCTGTTACAAGGAAATATAACGTTGATGTCGAGCTGGCTAGCATATTATACCAATTATGTGCACAAACCTATTGAAATAAAGTACCTGTAGTTGCATATTACGACAGATGTTAACGGAACCAAAAGAAGGCTCGCCTATTCAAGATCCTAAATCCCATGATTCTTTTGTTTTTAGTTTCAGAAAATTTCAGAGCACAAACTGGAAAGTACCAAGATACTTACATATTGGGCATAATGAAATGCGTCTTCATCTTTCAAGCAAGATTTGAGTGAGCGCAAACCGTCCTGAGAGTTACATAGAGTCAATCAGTGATATAAAAGCGTAGATGCATCACACCCAAACACAAGTATTCAAACACCGACAACTTCTTCATGTGGTGAGGCATGTTAAAAAATATGGGTAGAACAATTATTGAATTGGAAGTTAAAGGACTAAATTTATGACCTTATGTTTGAAGTTCTTGGCTCGTATGCATTCATCTATTACAAAACCGACCTGTAACAGAACAACAGAAAATATAAGTAGTAGTCAGAACATTAAGCATCGCCATTCACATTGCCTCCAATCCAAAGTAAAAAGTCTAAAGGCAAAATAGTATGATTCTTATCTCTCAAACAAAAACAAAACAATACCCCGGTCTCAGACAGGCATAATCCTAAAGATATTGTTAAGCTTTGATATCTCAAGAGTCGAGACTGCATCACAACTCACAACTACACGTCATAAATGAAATAATTTCTACTGCCTTAACTGAGTACTGCTTTGACTATATATAAATCCAATTCACCTTGTCAAGTAATCTCTTAGGATCTTGAAGTGCTTGCTTCTTAGAACAGTCATTAAATAAATGTGAGATAATCGATCTCTCATCCACACTGAATCTATTGCACAGTGACAGAAGAATAAAGTTAGTCATGAATATAACCAACCAAAAATGCTAACTATAATAGTATACCCATCACAATTGGAAGCAAAACCTTTTTAAGAAACCATTTACATGGTTTTCCTCCCCAAATTCCATCAATTCTGCAGAGGCATCGTCAAATTTACTATGATGGAGATAATTTTGCACCATAACAACTTCAGAAGGAAGGAGGCTTGGTTTGGGATTGTCTGTCGATGGAGTAGTCTCTTTTGAAGTGTCATGGTGCTTTGATTGCAAGCGTTCTGTACTTACGTCAGCCTACAAAACAAAAATTTCATTCATCCACGCTACACTTAATATGATTCGAAACACTTTAGATTCTTCATTATTTGTAGTTTGACTAAACAGCAGAACAACTGAGGATAATGAACAGTAAAACACACCTGGACATCTCGTAGATGATTTGGAATTTCTTTCAGAAATCGCGAAGGTTGAAGCATCTGAAGGAGTCACCTTCTCAGTCAGAGCAATAATAACAAATAAGGATAGGAATTCAAGCTAAAACGAACCTGCCAACTGGAATCCGTTGTTACATAAAGAATGAAAAGCTTTTTTCGAGCACGAGTCATTGCAACATATAAAAGGCGTCTTTCCTCCTATGATTAGAGTGGGATTATTGAGTTATTGACCAAAAGAAAAAAGAATGGGATTATTGAGTAAAACACTTCAAAGCCCTGCATATAAAGGAGAAATGTTGAACAATTTACCACACACCTCAATGGAGGTCCAATTCTCTTTTGCAATGCCATTGAATTCATGCAACAACGGAATCTCAGATTCATTTACCTGTGTTATTGGCATGAGCGTTAAAGCAAGCTAAGATGACTTTGAAGAGGTTAATATCATCATGAATATAGTGGAACAGAATACTAAATTCAAGCCATCAGTTAGGTATAGCATCGGCATGTTTAACCTGTAAATCTAATGACGAAACACATCAACTCTGCACATAAATAAATAAATATAGTAACAACTAGAAAACTATTACAGCCACTGTTAAGGCAAATACCTTAATTATGAAAACTATATCCCACTCTAAACCTTTTGAATGCAAGAGAGTGAAAAAGAAAGAAAGTAAGAATGTTTTGTAGAACTCTGAAGGAAGACAAATAGGGAAATCATCGCTTTGGTTTGCATA